CCTGAGTTTGGTCCCCAGAACCCACATGGTAGAAGGAGACTTAACTCCCACAAATTGGCCTTTCTGTAGCATTTGCCACACACACGCACGCGCGCGCGCACACACACACACACACACACACACACACAAAGTAAAATAGACAAAACCTAATAAACAGCAGTTCATATATGTCTGTTTCCTTTATCATAAACAGAGATCTACTTTGGGTCATAAAGTTGCTTTAAAATTAAAATGCCCTGCTTGGAGAGCCTGTGATTCCCAGTGATGCAAAACATGTAGATGATTGCAGAAAGAGGCTAAGTGTACATAGTTAGAGCACTGCTTCTTAACCTAATGTCACCTTAGAAATACTTCAGGGTCTTCAGAACCCACCCATACTGTGGCCCAGACCAGACCAGTTGAGATGCATCTTTGGAATGAGGCATAGGTACATGAATTAAATTTCAGAGATAGAAATAAGGTGTTGTTAAAATGTATATTTTATATGTTTTTTTCCAATATATTATATAGTTCACTTCCCAGTTCTTTGGGGTTATTTTCTGAGCATTATATTTAGCATACAGATTTTTTACTTCCATTCATATGTATTTACTTACAAATAAATCATTAGATTGGTACAAACTACTGAGAGACTATAAATACTTTTTAAAAAACCACCTGTTTTTTTAAATTTCAGCTGCCCCCTTTGCCATCTACAAATACACAAAGAGATGTACCTCTTTCATCCTCTGATAAATGTATCATTCTTTTGTGGACAACATTTTTTTTCAGAAAATAATTAATCGGGTCATCTCTATAGCACACACATTTTAACAGCCCACAGGAAATGTTTCAGCTCTTTACTGGCACGCTCTTATCTAACTGGTAAGGTTGATATTTTCAATCGCCTCAATTCCGTTCTGCAGCGGCGGCGGCAGCAGCAGACCTTTGCTGGAGGCTGATGGTGGAGGTTTTAGCATCCCAGCCTCTCCGGTCCCCTTCCCAACACTGGCAGCTCTCTCCCCAGATCGCAGAACAAGGGTGGTAGCTGAGTAAGGAGGAGTGAGAGCAGTGACGTGGCACTAAGGTCTCAGTATTTGAGTTGTAGCAGCTCTCTCTGGCCACCAGAGGTCCCCCGAGCCTGCGTGAGTCCTGCATGCTGTCTTCTGTCTTCTCTGCACAGCAGACCGCTCGCTCCAGCATTGCGGCTTTGCCTTGAAGCTCTATCAACCAGAATTTTAACATGAGAGCGCCGAACTTCTATTCTTAAAGTCCGCTTTTTGAAATTGTACTTCTCTTTCCATCCAGACAGAGAAAACAGCATCTCAGGCTAACAGGGGTAGGAAAGCCGGGCAAATGAGTTCCATCAAGTGGCAGTGGACTCCCTCAGAGATAAGCGAAAAGGCAGACTTCTTTGCATGTTCAGAACAAACAAGACCGTTGCTTTCCACCTTAGATCTGAATTCCCTGTCTTGTCCAATTAGTGGTAATCTGTTGACATAGTGTTAAACGTGATTTTATAATGGTGAAAACCCAGTGCCTTAGATACAAACGACTTGGACAGCACATAGTGAATATAGACGTTGTTTGTTACGCACAGTTGGCAGCATGCCACAAGTCAGTCACATCATTGCTTTGACTATAAAGACATTAATGTTCTTGTGTTTTCTTCAATACGAATCCAGCGTTCATGCATTGTCAGCTTCATGCCAAGCAGAAAGGTACATTTCTTGCCTTCACAGTTTAGTCTCTTGAGGAAATCATTTAATAGAAAAACTGTGTCTCTCATGATAGGAATATAGTTTGAGGGCTAGGCAGATAGTGGCTTTAGTCACCAGTGCTGGCAGCCTGAGTTCAATGACTGGGATCCCCCTGAGCTGCCCTCTGACCTCCACACATGTGCCATGATAAGTGTATGCACACATAGAGTAAACGAATGTAATTTTAAAATGTGTTGAATAATACGGTTGGCGGGGCCTAGGGAGATGGCTTGGCAAATCCTTGCCTTGCAAGCATCAGAACCTGAGTTCAGTCCCTGCACCCCACACCCCACACCCCACACCCCGCACCCCACACCCTACACAAAAAGCCAGGCACAGTGGTGCCTGCTACAATTGCAGCACAGGTAAAGTGGAGACGAGCGGTTCCCTGGGACCCACAGGCCACCAGCCTAACCGACTTGTAGGTCTCCAGGCCAGTGAGCGATGCTGAAAAATGTATCTGAGGTTGTCTTCCCGCTCCCACATCCGCACAGGTACACGGACATACACACACATGCACACACACATGCACACACACACAATGGTTTTGAGGTTACAGAGGTGTGTCAGTCTGTGATCTTTTGTAGTACAGGCAGCTAGGAATCTACCATTGGCATCTATTCAAACAGTATTGTGTTTTTTAGTCTGTCCCATTCGGTGGCTTATAAAAGAGTAACCCCAGTATTAATGACCTTCCCGATTAAGTTAGTATACTTGCCTTCTTGGGTTAGACTTAGTAAGAGTTACTGTTAAAACTAATCTAGATAACGAATTTAAATTGTGCTATTTAAATATATGTGCTTTTTCTATCCCTTTGTAACGTCAGCGCTAATTTTAATAGCAATTTATATTTTGATCGCTAGAGGGCAGTAGGCACACATCACCAAGAAAAATCTTCTAAATACAGAAAAGATGGTCTGTAAATGTTTTCCGCATCATGCATTATAAAGCTTTGTTTCCAGATGTAAAATTTATTTGTTACAAAAGCGCGTGCCACTCTTCATGTGTAAACGCCTCTGAAATCGCTTCAGTGGTCAGTACCTGTTAAACCGTCGTGTTCTTAGCCATTTGCATTTGTTGTTGTTCTTAACTTCCTTTAGTTACCAGAACCTTCTCTTCACTGAAGAACAGAAAATATATTTTAATGTTTTAGGGTCTTTGAGTAGCTTCTGAAACATTCGAGATCCAGAGAACTGCACACATGTCCTGTGGGACCAAATACAAAGAGAACTGTGTAAACCACTGTCTTTACACTGGTCTTCTGATGTCTGACTGTGTTCTCGCAATAACATATCCTCTCTCATGCTGTGTTCTAGTCTGGTTGTGATGTCCTTGTGGTGTGTTGTTCTCTGTGTCAGGATGTTCAAGGCATCCTCCTGGGTGTTCTTAGTGTGTGTGCAGGCTGTTGCAGAATTGAGTTTCTTTCACCTGAGCAAATTTCATGTAGAGGTTTGTTAACGCGGTGCCTTGTCCTGAGGCCACTGATGTTATCAGGAGTCCAGGTGTCCCTCACATGTCTTTCCTCCCATCCCTGACTTGTTCTTGGTCCTGAAGGCACTTGCTGCAGGTCTAAATAGAACCTGTAACCACGGCAAAGTCAGGTAGTGGAAGAGTGCTATCTTACATTTTCAGTGGTTTGCTCTAATCAGGGACTCCTACTCCTGGGGTGCTCTCTTTGGCACTCATTTGCCACATAGGGGTCTCTGCACCTCTCTATGAGATTCACTGGTAAGTGGGGGAAATTCTCATTGTGTGTGTGGACAGAGACATCAGGATTCTACCGGGTATCAGGCCCCTGAAAGAAAAAATGCGGTGGCGCACACCTTTAATCCCAGCACTCGGGAGGCAGAAGCAGGTGGATCTCTGTGAGTTCGAGGCCAGCCTGGTCTACAGAGTGAATTCCAGAAAAGGCGCAAAGCTACACAGAGAAACCCTGTCTCGGGGGAAAAAAAGAAAAATGAAACATCCCACAAATTGTGGTATTCTCCAGCAGAGAAGAAGTGGGGTGGACCTGGGCAGGCAGGAAACAGGCTTTGCTCCTGTTTCGGACTTTGTGTGTTTCACATAGAGACTCTCTGGCCTGGCGTCCTGATACTCTCAAACTGTAATCTTCATCTCTGCTCTTTCACGTGCATTGCTGTGGACAGAGTTGCAGGGCAGCCCATACTTACGGAGTCAGTACGGTTCAGCGTCTTCTCCTAGCACTAAAGAAACTAAGAACTTAGATTTCCTCCTCTGATTATTAGTACAACCGTGCTTAGAAAACAGTCTTTCTAAACTGCTCCTTGAGTCTAGTAGCCTTTCAACAAATCCTGCAGTTGCCCGATGCTATGAGGGCTGGGACCACCAGCAGCTCCAGTTCAGCCATCCAGCCGTTGGCGTGCCTTGCGGCCTTCTCCGGTAGCTTTGCTCGGGTACCTTCAAGTGGCTGGAACCTAGCAATAGCTGTTTTGTGTCCCATCTGAAATGGCATGGCTGTGCCTCTGAAGGACACAGAGGGCCGAATAGCTGCTTCATGGCAAAGATGGGCTCCTGGGGCATTATCTGAATGTTTGGTTCTTATCTGCTTTCAGTAAGTATTTGTTCGGTATTTATTAATCAGCTCACTTACAATACAGTAAGGTTTTTCTCTGTTTTGAAATGTTGATGATACTGTATTATATGATTTTAATAGCATATTGATTTTCATGAACTAGTATTATCAATTGTCATGATTTTTTAAAGTAAACAAATGCTTTTTTTACAGATCTGTTTTTATTTTCTATTTTATTTGTGTCTGTGGGATATCTGTGTCTGAGTGAAGGTGCTGAGGATGACAGAAGACACTGGGCCCCTGGAGCTGGGCTTAGAGGCAGTCTGTGGGCTGCCTGACATGCCTAACAGCTGGTAGCTGGACTCAAGTCCTCTGCAAGAGCAGTACACGCTCTTAACAACTTAGCCATCTCTGTAGCCCCAGAAATACCACTTTTAAAGGTAGTAAGGCCAGTCAGTGAATGCCTGTAATCCCCACACTGGGGGGCATAGATAGGCAGATCCCTGTGAATTCCAGAATAGCCAAGACTACATAGAGAGAGCCTATCTCCAAACCAAAAACAAACAAACAAAAAGTAGTTAGTATTGGCATAATGGCTAGATTGTTTGAACCCAGTCTTTATGCCTTTTATTTTTCTGCAGCTTTGAAAGACATGAACTTGTCTGAGATTAAACTAAGTTTAGAAGCATTTTTATTAATGATATTGCCTTTCTGTTTTTATTTTTCAGAAAATTGTGGATTCTTCTTCCCAGAAATAAAAAGAAATCTGGGCAAGTATGTGCACCGCTGTCCTGATTCTGTAAGAAGATGGCTTCAACAGCTGAAGGCTGCTGGGAAAATTACCATGTTGATCACCAGTTCTCACAGCGACTACTGTAAACTTCTTGGCACTTACATCCTCGGGTAAGTGACCAGCCATTCTTCATGGATTTCATTGCTCTGCTTTAGGTGATCACTGAGGACTGAGTGGAATCTTTCCTGGAATGCTGGGGCTGTTCATGGAAGATAGCAAGCCATGTGTTTTCACTTCTGTAAACAAGGTTGGCTGCCCCAACTGCACGGGACGAGCTTGATCACACACAGCCAGGAGGTATGTAGGCAGGAAGTATGTCAGGGTGTATGCTTGTCCCCAGTCGAACGAAGACAGAAGTATGTAGACTAGTGGGTTTTACCTTTATGCTGACTAACTTAATTCACGGCCATTCTCAGAATCCCAGCCAGTGTCCCTGCCTAGCCAGTGCCCATCATCCTGGCCAGTATTTAATAAATGTGCTTCAAATCTAGCTTTTAAAAAATACATATATACTCCCCGAGAGATTGTTGGTATAGCCCTGTATCCATTTCAGTGCAGATCCGTGCACCGTGCCGTTTAGCAAAGACAGTGATAGGATTAACATAAAATCAAGGCAATCGATTTTGAAAAGGGATCGACATGATTCAGGCCCTTCTTTATAACTACTCGTGTGGCCTGGGATACAGTTTGTAAGTTCTTTGAACCTTAATTTCATTGTCTTGAACTGTTAAACAATTCCTTATGAATGTAAGGGTATATTTAAATAGTGCAGTACATGATACCCATACATATTGGGCAGAATAGCTGGTAAGCTTTAATAATTGTTAAACTAATATGCCTCATCCTTGGCAATACTGGGAAGGCCCAGGATTCCACAGAAGGTTGTTAGATTTCTTCTAAGATTACAAACCTCAGCAAACACAACTGCCTTGAGTGTGAACCAAGCTGTAGCCCCTCAGCTTACCTCCATCAATAATCTTTAGACCCAGGATTTCTATGTTCTTTGGCATGTGTGCAGATTTAGTCTACTCTGTGGCATACTTACTAGGGAATGGATTTCCTGCTTTCTGAGAAATATGTAGGCAGCTTCCTTGCAGTGAATTAAAGCTGGTGTTCAGGGTCCCTGAGAAGGGCACCTCTTCAGGAGACCTTTGCAGCGCTGGTGTAGAACCATGCATGGGAACACACAGGGCTTTCAGTTCCCTTTTCCACCATGGGTAACCGACGTCCTGCTTCTCATCTTAATTTCTAGTCTCTACATATTTTCTTTAGTGACACACACTGAAGTGGTGTTTCTCCAGGGTAATAATGGTGAGCCCCAGAGAGAGCTACCCTTCATCAGATAGTCCTTAGCATAGCACTCCATATACACTGATGTTGTCATCTAAAACTTATTACAGGACTTTGCTGGTTTTCAAAATAAAGTAACTTCCTCGTGTTTTGAACACTCTGAGAACTGTCACTGGACTTAATATAATGCTGCATTCTGTAGGACCCATATAGTACCAAATCTATTGACCCTTCAGCTAGTAAGTACAGATGAACTCCAGTCCTTGTGTTTGCGAATGTGGACCATTTCTGGCTACTAGAGATCCTCTTGCTTGCCAGGGTGTTTTCACGAGTGAGTTCCACATCTAGACCAGCACTGCCTCTCTGCTCTTGCTTGCTCCCTCTCTCTCTCTCCTTTTCTTTCTTCACTTGTGTTTCTTTTCTTCGTTATATTTGTGTTTTTAGTAATTGTCATATTTTCAGAAAAATTGGCTAATACCCAACCACCTTCTCTTTCTAGCGTAGCTTCCAGTGTAAAGTGTATAAAGTAAATGTAAAGCATGTGAGAGTTGATCAAAAGATCAACATTGATGTCGTGATAAAATGCTGGAGCAAAGATTAGGTTCTGTTTTCTATGGAACTTTCTAATTCCTTAAGGGAAATCTACTTTGCTTTTTAGGAAGGATTTTGCAGACCTTTTTGACATTGTGATTACAAATGCATTAAAGCCTGGATTCTTCTCGCATTTCCCGAGCCAGAGGCCTTTCCACACTCTCGGTAAGTTCTGTTTCGCTGTCTCTCGTTTGCATCTTTGACTAACACCGAGTGCAAAGTAATCTGTTATCTAGGGAACATCATGTCTCCTCAAGAGAAGGAAAATATAAGCCTGCTTTTACATTAAACTTTACTCAGCTTTGCGTTATAACTCACTTTACATGGTGATCATTTATTTACACGTCAGCCTCTCCCTCTTTTCAGTGACAGAGGGCAGGGATCGCTCCTGAAATGTTGTGATAGAAGTAGTACGCTGTGAGTGCTTGAGGGAATGGATTAATAAGTCAGAGTCAACCATTTTGGGAGCAGAAGTCCCTGCAGATTTCACAAAGATCAAAACAGCACTGGCACATATCCATGTGCGCGCGCATGCACACACACACACACACACACACACACACACACACACACACACGGACACACACACGGACACACACACACACGGACACACACACACATACACACATGCACACACACACACGTACACATGTTCACAGACATACAAACACATGTACACGTGCAGGCAGACACAGGCTTTCTCTGCGACACTCCAGGCCTTCAGAAAAGGCGAGTGAGAACTGTCAGGGTCATAAAGAGAGAGACCGATGGACAGACAAGGCTGCATGAAAAGAGCGGACACTTTGCAGTGGAGAAAGGATTTTCCCAGCCCTATTTTCAATTTTTGGAGGAACTTCTACGCTATACTCATTTCATTTTACTCAGTAGTATGCAAGAATTCCCTTTTCTTGATATCCTTACCATGTACTACTTTTTTAAATTCTCTCATATATTACATCCCAGCCACAGTTTTCGCTCCCTTTCCCTCCCCCAGTCTCTCATTCCCTGCTTCCCCTCTCCCCCAGATCCACTCCCTCCTTCTCCCCTCAGAAAAGAGCAGGCCTCCCAGGGCATCAACCAAATATGGCATAATATGCTACAATAATACCAAACATATACCATCATATCAAGGCGACCCAGTAGGAGGAAGAGGATTCCATAAGCAGCCGAAAGAGTCAGAGACAGCCCCCTCTCCCACTGTTAGGAATCCCACAAGAACACCAAGCTACTCAGCCATAACAAATATGTAGAGGATCTACATCAGACTACTGTAGACTCCCTGAGCTGTGCGAGCCTCCATGAGTCTCGGTCAGTTGATTCTGTGAGCCGTGTCCTCATGGTGTCCCTGTCCCCTCTGGTTCCTCTGATCCTTCCTTCCTCCGCCCCCTTTGCACGACTCCCAAGCTCTGCCTAATATTTAGCTGTGGGACTGTGCATCTGCTCCCATCAGTTGCTAGACGAAGTCTCTCTAGTCTTTTCTTCATAAAGAAAAAGAAAACTTCCTGAAAGGAGTGAGGTGATAGCTCTTTGAGCCTTTGACTTGCTTTCTCTTGTTGACTAATGATGATGAACTTTTCATAGATTATTGGGCATTTGTATATCTTTAGAGAAATGCTTGCTTAGGCCCTTTGTTTCATCCAAGTTGTAACTTTTCTACTGAGTTCCTTATGTGTTTACCACTCTGGTGGTGGGACCTGGGAGAATCAAGCCTAAAAATGACGTGGACTAAAGTCTCATACCATAACCAACTTTATTCAGAGCATCAGACAATTTATGCTCCTGGGGTTAAGGAGAATCATGTGACTAATGTTCTCATAAGTTCAAGCTGTATACAGTCACAAGGACAGGCCACACATGGCAAAAACAAGTTTTTCCATAGAGGCATATAAAGGATAGTGTAAACAGTTAACTGAGTAACAGCAGCAAGTAATCTGAAATAAACTCACTCCTATCCGCTACACCTGAGAGAAGCACACATTCCAAGAGCAACTCTGTGTTTTGAAGAACTCACAGAGACCTGCAGAGTTCAGGGAGCCCATAGCAGTCTGACCTAGGTCCTCTACACACATGTTATGGCTGAGTAGCTTGGTGTTCTTGTGGGATTCCTAACAGTGGGAGCGGGGGCTGTCTCTGGCTTTTGTCTCACATGGCTCTGGAGATTCCTGAACCATGTTCCAACATCTCCCCATCCCCCTTTTTAAAGCAGGATTCCAGAGCAGTTTTGACTTGAGATGTTGTAGATAAATCTAATTGTCATTTGATGCATGAGTATCCTATAAGCAAGCAAACTATAAACATTAAGTCAGTGAAAATATTGTGTGTAGTACTCTGCCACCAAGAACAGGGATCACAAACTATGTCCAGTATTATTGATCATATCATTATATTGACTGGAAAAATCTAGAGAATATCTTGAAAAGAGAACCATATGATTAGTAGTTCTGATATCTTGTAGAATATAAGTCCATGTTTGCCTTTAATAGGAACACAAATATTATGATGTCCTATGCAAATAAATGATTTCAATCCCAAGGAAAAATAAAATGCAGTACCTTCTTCAGATGAATAAATGAGCCTGGTACAGTCCCAAGGTCTAGTCATAAACACAGAGTCATTGGTAAAGATAACAGGAGCTGGATCCATCCAGTCTGTAAGCTGAAGCAAAGGAGGATGAGGAACATAAACCAATACACATGCTCGGAGGCACTCACTGCAGATGCACAGGTCCAAGGAGGATGAGGAACATATGACCAGTACTCGTGCTGAGACACTCACTGCAGATGCACAGGTCCAAGCAGCTAGCATTGCCAGAAAGAGGTTCTCGTGTGACAAGGGCTCTGTGTGTTTACTTCTTCCATGATGCATAGGCCTTAACTTGGCCCCAGATGGGCAGACTTGGCTTCTGATGATATGATATCTTATTTCGCCCTTTAGCTGGAGGTGTGCTATCTTTCTGGTGACTTCCACTGTCTCCTCACCCTCTGTCATTGTCCTTGATGGCCCAGGGCTGGAGGAACCAGAGAGGAATCCAAAATGTCTTAGTGATCCATCCTCAATGACAGATGTATAATCCTCCCCAGTTTTCTTCTGGAGAAGTAAAAATAGGGCAGGTTACTGCATCAGCTTGCTTATTTCCTTCTGAAAACAAATAAAAATAACAGGAAAAGGTTGGAGTGTGCAGGAATATGAGTCTTTTGCTGGAAATAATCCTACAACATAAGCAGAATCTGGAATATATTTAAGGGTTTATGAATTAACCATAATAAGTGAATCAAGGGGCTGGAGAGTTGGCTCAGTGGTTAAGAGCACTGGCTGCCCTTCCAGAGGTCTTGAGTTCAATTGCTAGCAGCCACATAAAATGGGATCTGATGCCCTCTTCTGTCATGCAGGTGTACATGGAGGCAAAAAACTGTATACATAATAAATAAATCTAAAAAAAAAAGTGAATCAAAACAACCAGGCCACCTGGTGGGCTGAGGAAAAAGAAGTATTAATAAATTGATGACTGACTGTCTGGACCATGAATTCTTCCAGTGCCCTTAGATGAACCATCAATACACTAAGTATCTGCCTGTGGAATGGGAGAAGGTTGGAGTAAAGTAAGCAGTTAGGATTTATGGCCCTTGTGCTGTAAATAAATCCATTCCAAAGGTGTATCCTGTTGTGCTAATACCTGTAGGAGACAGTTTATTGGGGAAAATAAGTAAGTTTAAAGTCAGTGAAGGGTCCACATGATACACAAATTCAAATAACTAATTCTTTTCTTGACTCTCGAGATAATGTGCAAAGACTGTCCCATGCCGCTTCTCCTCCCAGAGTTTTAAATAGATTGGTTAGTGCATTAGAAATACCAAGCACCGTTCATGAGGCCCAGAGGAACTGGAAAAAGAATTCCATTTTCCTGCCGTGCCCCAGCTTGTCTAGGTTGTAAAGTTAGCTTTCTCGTGGGCTTTCCTATGTCCTCATCAGAAAGTCAAGAGAATTCAAGAGTAAGTTGATTATCAAATTCCTCACCCCAGGCTTCAGGGCCACCTTCAGGCAATGGAGGATGTCTATTAAAAGGAGGCTGAAGTAAAGGACCTGAGGGAGCTGTCACCAGCATAGCTTTACTTTCAATTTTGACTAAACAGGGGAAATCTTTTTTGCCTCTTTTGCCAATTGTAAAGTTAGATCATCTACTTGATATTCATTTGAGGATTTAGCCATCTCTTCCTCATGATTAATGTCTTCTTTATCACCCTTAAATATTTGAAAAACAGTCCAAATTAATCCCTTTATCACCCTTAAATATTTAAGTAACAGTCTGAATTAATCCCCAAGTGACCCAAAATTGAACAGGGATTTTTTTCCCCCTACTATATGTGCCTTTTCAATATTATTTTGGACTCTGTCCCATACTCTTACATCTACAGTTGCTTCTTTTGGAAACTAGGGATTGTAATCATAAACAACTTGCAAGCAGTCTAATAGCTGTGATTGTAATACTTGTACCCTCCTTTTTGAAAAAATGGTGCACAAGCTGAAGATCAGGCAGAGCCTTCCGTGGTTCCTGCCCCATCTGTGGTTCCTGCCCCTTCTGTGGTTCCTGCCCCATCCGTGGTTCCTGCCCCATCCGTGGTTCCTGCCCCATCCGTGGTTCCTGCCCCATCCGTGGTCCCTGCCCCATCCGTGGTCCCTGCCCCATCCGTGGTTCCTGCCCCATCCGTGGTTCCTGCCCCATCCGTGGTTCCTGCCCCTTCTGTGGTTCCTGCCCCATCCTTGGTTCCTGCCCCATCCTTGGTGCCTGCCCCATCATGCTCACTCACCAGTGAGGGCCCCACTCTCTTGTCTCTTTGCTGACTGCACGTCTCTGACACATGGCACCCCTTGTTTACCACTCAAAAGGCAGTGGGACATGGGCAAATGGAGCCTAAAAATGTGGTGGACTACGTAAATAATAAATGCAATGGCCAAGCTTCTCCAGAGCCTCAGACAAGTTCTATTCTGAGGGTTAAGGAGAATCACATGAGTGAAGTTCTTATGAGTTCAAGCTCTATGCAATCACGAGAACAAGCCATACATGATAAAAACAAGTTTTTCCATAGAAGCATAGAAAGGATAGTGTGAACAGTTAATTGAATAACAGCAGCAAGCGATAGTGAGTAATCTGAAGTAAACTCACTCATCCGCTACAAATGGGAGGAACACAAAAACATATTCCAAGAACAAGTCCATGTTTTGAAGAAACTGAGGTCAGAAGACTCTTGTCTTGTTTTCCCGGAGTGTTCTCACGAGCACTCAGAACTCTCCTCACACAGCTCCCTTCCTAGAATGTATGTCAACTCTTACGCATTTTGGATATTAGCCCCTCATTTGGGCTTTGCAGATGTATTCTCCCTCCTACACATCGTCTTTCTGCTCCACTGACTGTTCCTTTTGCTGTGTAGAGGCAGCTTTTTAGTGTGATGTTGTAACCCATTTGTCCATTTTTACTCTATTACCCCAATTTGGAAGCCAGAAAAGTCTTATAAAACCTAAGTTTGTAATTCTAGTCTGCTTATTCAAAGTCTAGATTGGTCTGTTGTGACTTCTGTAAGATGCCTAGAAACCTCCATTATAAGTGTATCTTCATGATAACCGTATAGATGTTTAGAAATGCCTCAGTGTCCATGTGTGTCTAAGGTACTTTGGTGCCTTGATCTTCTGGACTTCTGATATAAAACATTTAAATGGAAGATACAAAGAATCCTAAGGTCTGGGGATATAACTCCGATAGATGCATTTGGGAGTGCAAGAGAAGGTCTGTGTTCATCTGAGCGTGGCATTGCTCTTCCTGGAGAGCCTGTGGCTCTCCCCCTTCGCTGTGTTTACTTCCTGCAAGCTCTGCCCTCTCCAGCTGTGTCAGTGCCCCCACCTCCACCCAACCCTGCCCCCCTTCTCCGGTCGGTCCGAATCTTCTGGCTAATGATCGAAGCCTTCAGTGTGGGCATCTCCTTCCCTCTGCTGGCCTTCAGCTCTGTGGCTGCTTTTGCTCTCACTTGTACGTGGATGGATAGGTCCCAATTTCTTGTCCTCTGACCTACACAGATGTTGTTTGTCCTTTACACTTTCCACACCCCAGAGTAGGTCTAGAAGATTGGATTGCTCACAGGAGCTCATCAGCCCCCTGCTACTCAGCACGCTGACATTTCCACGATCCATAGTTCTCTCAGGAATTTTGCCAGCCACAGATCTTATGAAAATGATGAAGACTCAGTTATTCTCTGGGTCACCCTGCTCTCCATCTGTCCTTTGGCTCGCCACTGCCTTCCTACCTCTGCCCTCATCTTCTGACAGGTGATTTGATGCAGCTCTGCTGTATGTTTGGGTCACTACACCCAGTCACCGAGCTCCAGCCCACATCAGCCTTGTAACCCTCAAGCCACACTCCCTGTTAACGATGCCCATCAGATCAGGCCTCTGCTATACCGCCCGAAGTAAATTAAATCTTTGTTCCAGTTAAAGGCAGAGAAATAAAATGAAGACAGTGACCTTGCTGAAGTAGAAAATTCCAGGAGCCGGTCTCTGTATTCAGTGTGTCTTTGATGAGTGGCATGTGCCTGACGTCAGTGGTTGTCATGGTAACTAGAGAAGAGCTGATGGTGCTGTAGCCAATGGGGGCCCAGCAACTCTTTCAGCCTGATCCCTGCTGACCTTAAGAAAAGTGTGGGGGCGAGAGAAGCATCATGTAGGCAGAATCTGCATCCTCCTCTTCTTCACTACGCAAAGGGAGACCACAGCCCTTACCAGTGCTGAGGTTTTGGGGAGGAAGGGGGGATCTCCGTCTCTAATATTATAAATTTCGGATGGACCCAGTTCCTATCTGGCCACCGCACTGCCAACTCCCTCCCGGCCCCATTGTGGAAACTCAACATACATCTCTGGTCCCTTGGCCTCAGCTGTTGTCAACACGTGGACTCCCATTTTTCTCTACATTAGTCTCCTTTCCTGACTCTCGCGGGGTATTTTCTCCTGTGCAACATTCGCTTCCCTTCCATCTAGAAAACAAAGACAACCAAGCACGCTGATGAATCACCTTGTGTGATTGCCGAGCTGACTTAACCATGAAACCGCCGGAGCCAGAGCCCCTTGTCTCCAGGCTTTCGCATGCTGCGCAATCCTTATGTAATCTCTCACCCTGCCGCTCTCCTCCTGACCCTCCTACCTCTCTTCTGCGGCTTTTCATTCACACTGACGTCAGTTTGTTGTTTGCTGTTAAGCAGGTCAGTATCTTTCCAGATACTCGCTTATTGGCAGGCACAGTATGTATTTAATCACATCCACACGGTCGTGTAGGTCCCCACTCCATGTAAGCATCCTTTGGCTAGTCCGTTCTCCTTCTCTTCCCTAATGTGTACTGGCTACAGTGTCTCTGCTGAAAACATGGCCTTTGACTGCTCATCCGGGTCTTTGTCCTGGCTGCTCTCCCTGTCACTGCTTCTGAGACAGTAGTGTATATACAGAATCACCCATGGCTCTTGTTAAAATGGCGACTGCTTCAGTGGGCCCGGTGACGCCTTGGTTTCCGATTGCCAAGCTCAGAAGATGACATTCTTAGGGACAGGAAATACAGGGGAAGCGCCCCCTCCTCTGTCCGGTGACTCCCTATCCTTGCCCTATGGCACTCACAGGCTCTGGGGACCCAAACACGGTCCTTCGAGAAGCACTTTTTCCAGTCAGCCATCTATCTCCCCAGGCTGTCTTCCTGGTTCTGATCTATTCTGTTTGCTCCAACTTACTAGCAAGCTGTTTGTTTTCTTTGGTGGTATAATTTTCCTGGTATAGACCCTGTTTCGTGAACTTCTCCTGAGGACACACAGTTAAAACTACTGACCTTAGTCAGGATGCCAGCAGAAACAAAGAAATAATTGTGCTAGTGACTTAGTTAGCTAATTAGGAGCCCATGCTCCTCTAAGTAAACCACTAAAAATAAAAAAATTATTTTTCTTCCAGCAGTTAAATGACTGACTACCTATCCTCAGGACGGGGTAGGACTTCATGAGCCCCTCCCCCAGAAAAAGGGACAGTTAATGGACCCAGTCTTCTGCAGGTCTCCTGTCTCTTCCTGATGCCCACAGTTGCTAAGGGTTCAACAGGCAGGAGCCATGTCACCCAAGAAAAGAAGTCATCAGTGGGATAAGTGTTGTATTATAACCCCCAATACAAATTAGCGTTTTAATAGATATTTTGCTTGAACTTTTTCATGGCAAAGAAATACATATAAACTGTATGAAAATGTGCAGTGATGCGGGGGAGGGGGTCCTAGCTCACATTGTGGAAAAGTTATATGAAGTTAAGTAGGAACCATTCATCAAGACTCACATATAGGAAGGAATCCTAGAAACAGCGAGACTTCCAACTAGGTTTAAAGTCAGAATCCATTGCTTAGTAACGTGAGAGGCAGAGAAAGGATAATCTTGGTGTTACACAAAGGAGCACAGGAGCAAGGCAAAGTATCTATATAAAAGGGGTAAGTTATGGCTCACAGCAGGCCAGCAAGTACATGGGTAGCTCTTGAGATGGCTCCCATCCTTTATCCTTGCCGGGTTGATGACTCTATCTCATCCCACTGGCTGGAAGTTGATTTCATCATCTGCCACAGTTGGCCAATCAGTGCAAAGGAAAAGGGAGGTTCAGGAAATGCGAGTCCTTGCCAGGCTAGCTACACATCCATCATGACCTCTACCTTTCACATACAATGAGCACGATCTTCATGGTGTTCTGCAGACTTGCTTATTAAAAATATTTTATCTACATTAACTATGATTTTTGTCCTGCTTTTTTAAAAATAGATATTCCAATCCCCCACTTTTACAAAGGAAAGAGCTTCAAATAGATTGTACACACCCTGTAGAATAAACTAGAATCTGAACTGGAAACAGAAATCAGTTACTTTCTCATCTCACTTCTTTTTAGATGACTGGGTCTCTACATTCATTTGAATCAGAAATTTTTTTCTGAGCCAGAAATCAAACCCAGAACCTCATACATGCTAAGCAAGTTCTCTACCACTGAGCTATGTACACGGTACTCGAAATTTCAAAAACCATAATTCTGTTGACTTTTTTGTACTTCATAAGCAGCAGAAAGGTTTGCACTGTCTTTGAGAAGTGAATCTCTACATATCAAATCTAAGTCTACTTTCAAAAATATCTCTGTATTTACCGTTGTCCACAAGCCTACATTATATACACAGTTAGACATTGGTACTGAATGAAAATGGACGAGAGAAGGAATACTTTTTGGTGTCTGCCTCCGAGAAACAGGTTGAATCTTCTTAGAGTTTTAATGTTGGTCTGGTCTTCAGACTGTTCTTTTGAAAGTAGGATTTTCACTGGACTGTACAGAAAAATGAAAAAAACAGATTCTATAATGACAGCAAGGCTGGGTTTAAGAGCCCCTGACCATCAGCTGCCAGTGGTACATGCCGCTTTAATCATCCATATTTGTACTTTCATAAGTGTTCAAAGTAGTTTAGATTGGATAGACATTTACTTCATGTTATAGTGATGTATACTTCACCTATCGTTTTAAGGTTGATAAATTACTTCCCATTTAGCTGCACTGACCATCATTTAGTCTACAAATACACATATAAGGTGATTTGTATTATAAGCTGAACACACATTTAGGGAGCCTGCTTATGACTTTTACATGTAGAAATTAAATTTTAGCTTGAGGTACTTATCAGTACCAGAGATGTGGCTTTAATACCTGACTTACATAGCTTTTCCCCTTCTGTGTAAACTCTTGTTCTGTTCCAAGGTTGACTTTATAGCAAAGCTGACAAAACTTAAGCTTTAGGACCCCCTCAGTTGTCCTTCTCAGATCCCAGTAGAGACCATGACAATTTGGTATTCATTCTCTAAAAGAGGATACTTTGTATATGGCTGTGTCTCATTGAGAACATTCTTAGAGGCACAGCAAAGAAGCCAAAGGTAACAAAACCTTGATAAAGAACAACTGTTTTGAAATCTAAAGTCATTGCATTCCTGGGAAAGGGGGGCTTCTTCCTCCAATGTAAATTTCCAAAGCTGGTAATGGCTACCAGAGTCTTTGATAGCATACCACCTTTTTCATTAAACTTTATTAAACAGGCAGATTATCATCAGCTCCCAGCCTGTGTCCGGGGGCATGTAATAGCAGGGTGTTAGATACGGTCCAGGGTGTTAGATGCACTTAACTTCTTTCACTAGCCCTGCTTTATCAGGGGTAGGGAGAGTTGTGGATTAGGCAAAGGTCAATAGCATGGTGGGAGAGAGAAGACAATTTGGACCTGTTGGCGCTCATGCTTTGCTATCAGGTGGTCCTCCACTACTCCCTCTTCCTGCCCTAAGCTAGGAGTAGGGTGAAGTAATTGAATCCTCTCGGGTGCAGCTTTGTTTTGTTTATTGAGACAGGATTTCTCTGTGTAACAGTCCTGCCTGACCTGGAACTCACTCTGTAGACCAGGCCAGCCTCGAACTTACAGAGATCCGCCTGCCTCTGCCTCCCAAGTGCTGAGATTAAAGGCGTGTGCTACCACTGCCTGGTTGCAATATTTTTAATTAAAAAAATGTATACAATACAATTCTGATCACATTTTTTCCTCTTTTTCAACCCCTCGAAATCTTCCCTCTTTCCTCACTAATTTAACTCCTTGCCCTTTCTCTCTCGCTCTCTCTCTCTCTCTCTCTCTCTCTAATACAAACAGAAAAAAAACAAGAAACACAAAGACCACACACACCAAAATATAAAAGCAAAAGATCAATAAGACCAAAAACAAAAAACAAAAAAAAACAAAGACCCATTTAGCAATATGAGAAAAAAACATTACCAAAATACCATTGGGTTTGTTTTGTGTTGGCCAACTACTCCTGGGCATGGGCTTACCCTGGTGTGGTTAATATACCCAGAGAGACTCCATTAAAGACTACTAAGTTTTCCTTCCTTCCAGTTGCAGATAGCTTCTTTGTCAGGGGAGGGACCCATGTCCACCTCCCCCTCTCAGTGCTGGGATAGGGCGCAAATTTTAAACCTGGATTTAACAGGTCACTGATAAAAGTCTATTCCCTCTGCTCTACTTCCCAAAAGACAGGACTGAATTGGGTTTCCATGATGATGTTCACTAAGTGAACCATTTTATTAAAGCAGAAGCAGGGTAACCAGCAGGTAAGGGTGCTTCCTGCCAAGACAGGGTACCCAGCAACCTGAGTTTAAGCCATAGAACCCATTTAGTTGAAGGACAGAACCAACTGCTGAGATTTGCACCTCTAAATGTGTACCATGGCATGCATGTATACCAATGCCTGTATGAATAAATGTGAACATGCACACAGAGTGCTTCCTGAATTCACGAGTCCTTCCCATATGGTTTCCTTCTATCCGTGGTCTATGACCCTGGGTGAAGCCCAACTAAAAGGTGGTTGCCAACCATATTTGCAGAGAACGATGAGGAGCAGAAGGAGCTGCCTTCTCTGGATAAACCTGGCTGGTACTCCCAAGGGAACGCTGCCCACCTTTATGAGCTTCTGAAGAAAATGACAGACAAGCCTAAACCCAAGGTAATTTCTGATGGAGGCAGAGTCCTGGACGTCCACATACAGATACAAATGGTTGTAAACAAAAGCATGGCTGTAAATTGTTACAATTAAGTATCTAGGTGGGTCATATGCCTCTGAGCATCTGCTACATCTCTTCTTTTTTCTCTTCTGACTAGATACACTTTCGGTAGGTACTTGGTCTTTATCTGTGACAAAAAAAAAAAAAAAAAAAAAAAAAAAAAAAAACAAAGATTCCAAAGAGGCTACAGATCTTGGAAGTACATGATTCAGACATGGGATGCCTGAGAAATGGCATTCTGATAACACCTAACCAAAGAATATTTTATACATAAAACAAGCAATGTCTAAACGACAGTGACTTACCAGCTTTCCCTTGAATTGCTTGCATTTGACCCCTTGTTCACACTGTCAAGGTTGGACATTGGTATGTGTTTCCTCTCCGTGATGTATACCATAAGCCCGGTGAGCAGGAAAAACCACTGGGTAGCTGAGCCCTGGTCCAGGCTTTCTTAGCCTCCTGAGAACTGGTCAGGGGTTTAGTGGACACAGGACCTAGACGAGGAGCATCTGGTTCTTACCTTAACCTCACACTCTCTTCTGTGAATTGAGGAGTGTAGTCTGGAGCAGTAGGACTTTGCCTCAGAATACCTGGGGGGCCTTCTAAACTTTACATGCTGGAGCTATTCATTCGTGAGTTCTGTTTCAGCAGATCCAGGGCGAGTTCTCAGGGTGGATAAACTCTTGAACAGTGGTCATGGTATGTGTTCTTAATAATAGGTAATCCCTGTAAGTTGTCAGTTTTAGTTCTAGAGGCAGATTTAATTATAGATGTGTGAAAATACACAGGCTTGCTTCTTCATTAGGAAAATCAAATAAAATTGTTTCTCATCTTCTGCCTTCCTTCCATCTTCAACAAACCTCCAGATCAATTAGGACAAATAATTGGTCATCTGTGAAATTGTTTATGAAGTTTAAGTCACTTAAGCCATTTTGGTTCTCGGACTCTGATGCCTGTTGAGGGCAGTTTTTCTGTTTTCTGTGCAGTGGCCGCCGTTCACACATCCACGCCTCATTCAGAGTTTTCTGTCTGCATCATAGGTCGTTTACTTTGGGGACAGCATGCACTCAGATATTTTCCCAGCCCATCACTATAGTAACTGGGAGACAGTCCTCATTCTTGAGGAGCTTCAGGGACAAGAGATGGAGAAGGCTGAGGACGCAGAACCTCTGGAAAAGAGAGGAAAATATGAGGTAAGGATCCTGTCTGTCCTTTTCTTAGGTGTCTGAAAGCTGAAGTTATGCTATCTGACTCTGGAATGAGCTGGGAATGGTGTCATCTGCCTGGAGTCCCACCACATGATAAGTGGAACAAGAGGATCAGTATCTCAGGGCTAGCCTTGGCTACATAGGGCCAGCCTTGGCTTCATGAGACCCTGTCTCAAAAAAACAAATTATTCTGGTCTGACTGAATACCTTCATGTATCTATGGTTTATGTTTGAATCACTGTAATTTAATGGCTTCCACCTAAGCAGATAGCTGTAGCCAGCGTACTTGATTCATCTGCTTTTAAGAACTTAGTATGTGCCATCATCATTCCATCGTGGATACAGAGAACTGCATGATACCCCCTCCCTTAAACTGGGGAGCTGTTGGCTGTGAGAGACAATGAGTCTTTTTTTTCAGTGGTGTAGTGCTGCTATGTTGCCCATGTTCCAGTAAAAAAAAGCCCACACCCTTGCTCATACAAGCAGCCCTAATTACACTCAGTGACTCATTTTTTAAAAAGACACCAAAGTCGGAGGGGACTTGTTGGGAAGAGGGAGTTCAGGGGAAGGGTGAGAGGGGGTAAGGAGGTGAATATAATCCAAATCCATAATATACACATGCAAAATCATCAAGGGAAAAATACCAAAAGAAAAAAATGTCATCTGTCATCTATCTCCCTGCCTAGGTTTAAAAATAAAGGAAGCAACTGTGTTTTTTTGTTTTGTTTTGTTTTTTTCCCACAAATATCTTGACATAAACCTGAGCCTCCCGCCTGATGGCATCCTGTTGCTGCGATGCAGAGCTCAGTTGCTCTGAACAGCACAGTATAAACACCACCACATCAGGTTTAGTCACTTTCCTGCCTCCCTGTGCGGGGGACAGAACTCAAACATCTTCAATCCCAGCAGAAGGGGACATTCCCTAGAGAACTAAGAGAACACTGCCACCATGGGAGAATGTGTTGAGGTTGTTAAGAAAACTGTAGCTTTCCCAACCAAGTGTCAAGCATGTAATATAGAAAGAGTCCCTCTTTCTGTTCAAAAAGTTCAAAAACTGCCTACAGAAGGATCTGATTTACATTCCTAATGACTTTATTCAGGCTAAATGATCTTTCACAAATAAAGTTAGTTAACAGGGATTTAACGGAATCTTCTCAAAGCTGATGCCATGATCTGGAACACTGTTCCTGTGATGACTGAGTCTGTGCTGACCAGTTTCCTTTTGCTGTTCGAACTCAATTTCTGCAGTGTTTTGCAATACTTTCCAATCTAAGTAAAGTCATCTGGAATCTGACGATCACTTTTACCTCCCACAATTTGTGACAGGAAGCGTGAGGACCGGGGACATCTCAAATGGAACTTGACAAGCTTCTGCACAAACCCCTTTTTCTAGACTCTTGGTACATCAGCTCATTATCCACTCTTCTGTCAGAGCTTAGTGACAGATGAGGAAAGAGTACATGTTAGTGATTCACAAGGCTACTAGAGTGACTAAGGAATAGTATTCTTTACCTCATAAATCATAAAGAAGCAGCCAGTCAACAGTCTGTTCTTGAGAGTAGGAATCCCTGAGAGTCTTGGTGCTGTGCAGCCAGCCTTGTGTTGAAGGACCAGAACTCTCTCCTGTGGCTTCCTTTGTTACTGTTCTAGGTTGTTTCTTCACTTTAACTAAAAACAAATGAAAAAGAAATTGCATACTTTTTAGAATATTGTGTCTTAAGTTTAGGTTAAAAAAATAATTTACTTTTAATGCTAAACATTTTTAACAAATAAGAAAAATAAGTTAATATCCTTAAGCTAGGGAAAGCCTATCTACTGAATCCACAGTAGGAATGTGCTATAGCTGAAGAAAATGAAGGAAGAGGGAAAATGCATACCTGTGTATATATATATTAATTATGTGGAGACTGAGGCAGGGCCCAGCAGGCTCTCCTTCCACGTTCTGAGCTGGACAAGGATACCCCTTATTGATTACACCATGTAACAGAACTGGCCACGAGAAAAGGGAAAAAAATGTGGAATGAGCTTAAAAGGCAGTTTAGCAAATTGTCATATTTTACAGTTATATGACCATTAGCATAGAAAGAATCATCGAGGTACCAAAATTAATAGGAAAGTTCAGTCAGAATGCGGGCGCTAAATTGGCGTTCAAAAGCCAACAGCTGTTCTCTACAGCAGTCATAGCCAAAACTGTAGAGAGAGACAAATCATCTACACAGACAACAAAGTGAAAACACTAGGAAGTAACCCACCAAACACATAAGACCGCCATCAGTAAAACTTAAGCTTCTATTCAAGTTCTTAATTACGAACCTACATAATTGAAGAGATATACTTAAGAGGGTGTGTTAGAGTCTATTTTTGAGATTGGAAGACTCAACCCTCACAAGACTAAAGAAATGAAATGGGTAAGGAAGCAGGGATTTTTAGCCATATTACAAAGCTTTACTAATTTTTTTATGCTAGTACTCATGACTTGGTACCAAGTGAGCATACCTAACCCAGAATTCTAAAAGTTCCGTACTCTGAACACTTTTCTTTCTGAGACTGACCTCACTATATAGCCCAGGCTTGCCTCAAGCTTGAAGCTCTCTTCCTTCGGCCTCTTGAGTTCCGGGAGTATATGGATCAACTACCACACCTGGCTGGTTTCTGAAATTTTTTTAATACCAATATGATGTTGTTCAAAAATTCCAGTATTTAAAGCCTTTGAATTCTGAATTTTCAGATAATGGATGCTTAAGTAAAATATATTCAGATATTCTCAAAACTGACAAATTCTAAAATCTGGGCAATCCTCCTAGCCCCAAGATGTCAGGAAGAGATATTCACTCCATATATAACAAATGTTGTATAGAGAATAGCATCCAGACAAAGTCCCTTATCACACCACACAGGAACCAACGGAACATTCCAGTCAGGAGTGAAAGGAGGGGAAAAGTACTCTGATCCCCTTCCTCATCCTTCACATAAAAATAACCTCTGAAGGGATTATAGACCTGAAAATAAAACCACACCTGTAATGTTTATTGAAAAAAGTTTGAAAATATTTTTGTAACTGTGGTGGTTTGAATGAGAATGACCCCCATAGGTTCATATATTTGAATACTTGGTCCTCAGCTGCTGGAACTGTTTGGGAAGGATTAAGAGGTGTGGCCTTGTTAGAAGAAGTGTGTCACTGCAGGGGGGCTTTGATGTTTCAAGAGCCAAAGCCATTCCCTGTTAGCTCTCTGTGTCCTCCTTGCAGACAAGAATGCAAGCTCTCAGCTGCTGCTGCAGCAGCATGCCTGCCTGCTACCATGCTCCCCACCATGATGATCCTGGACTCTAACTTAACTATAAGCCCCCAATACACTCTTCTATAAATTGTCATGGTCATGGTGTCTCTTCACATCGATAGAAAAGTGGCTAAGACAGTAACCTCACTGTGAGGAGTGATTTCTCAAGTTACAGCTTGAAGGATAAGAAGCAGAAATAAGAGCTGGGGAGATAGCCCAATCAGTAAAGTACTTGCCTCAAAATCGTAAGGACCTGAGTTCAGTCCTCGGAACCCATGTTTTTAAAAAGCCAGGCTTGGTGGCACAGGTTTGTAATGCCTGTGGGAGATAGGGGGTGGAGTCGGGAGGGACCACAGGGCTTGTTGGCCAGCCACTCCAGCCAAATCAGTGAGCACCGGGTTCAGTCAGAGAACCTGTCTCAAAAAATAAGGTTTAGAGAGAGCCAGTCCAGTAAGACACTCAACATCGACCTCTACCCTGCACACACACATGCACACACAGAACTAAATAAATACCTACCCTTTGGAAAATCCATCCATAGAGAGTCTACCTGGGAAAGAGTCTGTGGTTAGCCCTAGAAGTGGACATATTTATCTCTCGGTCTCCTCAGAGAAAGCTAGAAAATATTCTTTTAGGAAAAAATAAATACAAAAGGTAGAAAATATTTTTTTAGGAAAAAACAAATACAAAACTAGTAACCCAGGCATGGTGGTACATACCTTTAATCCCAGCACTTGGGAGTCAGAAGCAAATAGATAGATAGATAGATAGATAGATAGATAGATAGATAGATAGATAGATGCTGGTGGGTTTTTTTTTAATTTATTTTTTTAAAATGTTTGGGTTTTTTTTTTTTTCATTTTACACACCAATCTGAGTTCCCCCTCCCTAAGACTCCCTAAGGCTTCCCTTAGGGAGTCAACAACTCTGGCATACTAAGCTGAGGCAGGACCCAGCCCCTCCCCCCTGTGTCAAGGCTGAGCAAGGTATCCCACCCTAGGGAATGTGTTCCAAAAAGCCATTTCATGCACCCGGGATAAGTCCTGGTCCCACTGCCAGGGGCTCCCCAAACAGATCTAAAGCTAGTCATTTTAAACCTTTATTGATGGACTGGCTTCATGTTTCAGATATACTGAAAGCAATAAGTAAGTTTTCATGTCCTCACCCTCTCCTACCAAAAAAAAAACCTGAGAAAATTCCTATAAGTTTTTAATTAGCCTTCAATGTAATAGTACTAGTAATGATGACAGGTAAATTAGAGTTACTTTAATCATAGAGAAAATATCTTATTATAGACCTTAGGATAGTTTTCAGATTGTGGCAACTGACCATTTAAAGAGCCAGTTCTGGATCATGTCAAAGGGCACCCATAATAAGGAAATGGTATTTTCTTTGCAAAAATGTAATAAGTTCCCAAGCTGGGCTCACAGGTTCCTATAGCATTTTCCTACTTCCTTTTATTTAGTGAGTGAATAAAACACTTGCAAGAACAGTTCACTGCAGATGCCATTCGAATCACAGCTGTTCTGTTCTCTTTCAGGAACCAAAGGTAAAGCCTCTAAATTCCTTGTCAAATAAATGGGGCTCATATTTTACTGACTCAGTCTCGAGACGAGGGCATGCAGAAGACTCTTTGGTTTACACGTGGTCCTCTAGGAGGATCAGCGCCTACAGCACTATTGCAATTCCAAGCATCGAAGCGATTACAGGTAATGGAGAAATACCTGGGAGGCCGCCCTGTCCAAGATAGTAACCCTCAGAGGGGTTGTCTTAAAGAAGGAGTCTTCTCAAGACATTGTTACTGTGTTCCTTTACTTTTGAGATTATAATTTAATTACATCATTTCCATTTCCTCTCTTCAAATCCTCTCATATACCTCTGCTTGTTCTCTTTCAAATTCATGGCTTCTTTTTTCATTAATTGTTACATACATATATTACGTGTGTGTGTGTGTGTGTGTGTGTGTGTGTGTGTGTGTGTGTGTGTGTGTGTTCCTAAACAGATCCTGCTCAGTCTATATAATGGGGTTTTTTTTTGTTTTGTTTTGTTTTAGGGGAAAGAGCTTCTAGATATGGCAGCCTGGATTAGGGGATGCACACACACACACACACACACACACACACACACACACACACACACCCCTTTCTGGAGCCAACAACAAAGGCTAGATACTTTTTAAAAATCTGTTTGGAGAAATAGGATACAGGTTGGGAGAATTACCAGGACAAGATGCTTAGGAAGCCCAGTAAGATGAACCTGACTTTGGGGCTGCTTTCCCCCAAAGATTTCATTGATGTTGAGTGAACCTTTCAGTAACTCATGTAACTTCTCAGATAGGAACTAGAAGAGATAACGGGCCTGGTGAGCTCTTTCGGTCTCTGTTGTAAGGATGAATTAAGGCAAAGTCCACATTTCCACAGGGGCTGACTAGCAAAAAAATCACAGTCCATCTATGGTTAATGCCTCCATACACTTGGTGGAAATGAGTACTCATTCACATTATTCTGGGACTCAAATACTTCCTTAAAACAAGTCATATAATGTATAGCCCAGAGTGAATAATTGCCAGGAATATGAGGCTCAAAAATCACAAAAATAATATCAAAAACAGCCAACTACAGAAAACAAAGGACTGAGATATTTTATAGATGTAAAAACTAAGAGAAAGGCAATTTTTAATTAAGTCTTTCCAAATCAAAATTGATTTGTAGTGAATAGACTTCACAGCTGATTAGACACAGTCCAAAGTGAGTTAGCTCAAAGGAGATGTGCCGCGGCTGGCAGCTGAGCTGTATGTCAGAGAGAGCAGGTCAGACAGAACTGAAAGGAGCCGGGTGTCATGGCTGGCAAAGGGGGAGAGAGGGGGATCTTATCTGTTCTGATGCTGGAGACACTCCCTCACAATGTAAAACAGTAATCACGTTCTTAGGAATGAGTTATGTCTCCTACAGAACCCTGGCTTGACTGTCAATGACAGACTCGGTAGTCAGACACCACTGTGTGGCTTACCTCAGCAATAGAAAGGCAGCTCGAAGAAGGAGTGTGATGGTCATGGTTTGCACATCCGAAAGATAAAATCGAAAGGACTCAAATCCTGCTGATTTCTCTGGAAGCCGAGCGATATTCTGTTTCTGTGTTATTTTAGAGTGTAGGAATGTCTTCATTTTGGTTCACTTCATTTAATTGTTCCAGAGTTGGGATAACATGGCTGATATGGTGTACTCATGACAGAATTGAAGAGAAAACTGCACGACAAGCCAGAATCAGGAGAAGGGAGTCTTTTCTATTCTGTTCTGAGTAGTCAGCCGCCATCAGCCACCTCCTACAACAGAGATGCGACTGCTTTCTTCTCGCTGACTCCATGAGCTCCGGAATCCCGAGTTGGCAATCTTTGTTTTTGACCTTAGTTTGCCTATAGACCCAGATACGTGCGCGCGTGTGTGTGTGTGTGTGTGTGTGTGTGTGTGTGTGTGTATGTGTCTGTCTGTGTGTGTCTATGTCTGTCTGTCTGTCTATCTGTCTGTCTGTGTCTGTGTACATGTGTGTGTGTGTGTGTGTGTGTGTGTGTGTGTGTATGTGTATGTGTCTGTCTGTGTGTATCTATGTCTGTCTGTCTGTCTATCTGTCTGTCTGTGTCTGTGTACGTGTGTGTGTGTGTGTGTGTGTGTGTGTGTGTGTGTGTGTGTGTGTTTCTTCAGGCAACATCCACCTTTCCCTTTCACAGGGCTAAAACTTACCAAGTAAGCACATAGGGTAGGCTAGCTAGCTAATCAGAAAGCTAGACAGCTATCTATACCCGCCTCCCCAACAGTGGGATTTACAACCATGCACCGCTGCCCCCAGTTCTTAAATGTGGGATCTGGGGATCCAACTCAGAGCCACCTCCCCAGCCTCAGGTTTATTTTTTTTAATTTCTATTATTTATAGTGAGGTGTGTATAACAATATGTACAAACGTGTGAATGAGTCCCATAGAGGCCAGAAGAGGGCTTTAGACACCATGGAGCTGGAGGTGTAGGTGTTGGTGAGCTGCCTGATATTAATGCTGGGATCCGAACTCTGATCCTCTCGATGAAGCAGCAAGCACTGTTAACCCCTGAGTCATCTCTCCAGCTCCCTGTTTTCTTTTCTACTTCTTTTTTAAGATTTATTTTTATTACTTTAAATTATGTGTGTCTGTGTCTGTCTGTGTCTCTGTTAGAGATACACACTGGAATGTAGGTGTCCACATAGGCATCAGATCCCCTTGGAGCTGCAGTTACAATCAGTGGGAGCCAGCTGATGTGGGTTCTGGAAAGGGGAGGCCGGGGATAGACAGCTCTCTAGCTTGCTGACCAGCTGGCAAGCCTTGGGTCCTCTGTGAGAGCAATACATGTTCTTATCCACTGAGCTGTCTCTCCAACCAACCCCACTTTTTACGGTGTTTGGGGGGCAGGGCATAGAGGCCAGAAGAGGGCATCAATCCCTGAAACTGGCGTCACGGGTGTGGATTCTGGGAACCAAATTCCAGTCCTCAGGAAGAGCAGCAAGTGCTTTTAACTGTGGAGCCATTTACCAGCCTCTATATTTCTTTTTTCTTCTTTCTTTATTTATTTATTTATTATGTAGGCAGTGTTCTCCCTGCATGTATGCCTGTTTGCCAGAAGAGGGCACCAGATCTCATTACAGATGGTTGTGAGCCACCATGTGGTTACGGGAATTGAACTCAGGACCTCTGGAAGAGCAGCCAGTGCTCTTAACCACTGAACCATCTCTCCAGCCCAAGCCCCATATTTCTTAATAATAACAAATCTTTGTTGTTACCTTAAACAGCATTGCTGTTGCATATTACTTGGTTAATGTCATTCATATTTAAATACCCAGAATCCAGGGTATCTGATGCTTTCTAATGCTAAATGTTTTCCTTTTCACAATAAACGTGACTTTCTCTGGCGTCAAGAAAGCAAGATTCTCTCTTCCTATCCAGCAGTAGTTTTTTTCTGGTAAAGATTAACTGCTTGAGTTTTGATGCCTCTCAGTGACACCTAATGAAAAGTGTAATTTGGGCAGAGTTGTGGGGATTGTGTATAGTATATATAAATGCAGTTTGGCATACATCATATTGCAAATTTTATATGTTTACTCTATACTCTGTATCCCTGGTACCAACCTCTCTGTAGCACAAGTATCAAAATTACTGATAAATTAGAAACACTGAATTTTTTTATTACTTCCTTTGTTTTTTTTTGACACTATAATAGAATTACATCATTTTCCCTTCCCTTTCTTCCTTCCAAGTCCTCCCATATATTCCTTCTTCCTCTTTCAAATTCATGCCCTCTTTTCTCATTAATGCTGTTACATGTATATATATATATATATATATATATATATATATACATACACACAGACATATATATATATAAATATATATATTCCTAAATACATAAATACAGACTACTCAGTATGTGTAATGCTACTTGTGTGTACCTATTTTCAAGGTTAACCATTTGGCACTAGGTAATCAATGATGTGCTCTTCCCTGGTGAAGACTGTGCCTCCCACTCCCAGCATTCCTCAGTTATCTGTAGTTCTTTGTGTGGAAGCTTCATGGTCATTTCCCCATCCACTTTAATCTGACTATTATTGTTGTCCTTGTTCTGATCATGAAACACTGCATTTTAATCTAATTGTATTTATGAAAGGAGTTTGGTGGATAACAAAACAATCATTTTTTTCCTTCCTTCCCTCACAGAGTTACCCCTGGACTACAAATTTACAAGATTCTCTACAAACAATTCAAAAACAGCTGGTTACTATCCATTGGTCCATTATGCCTTGGGTTCTCAAGATACAGGCAGCAAAATAATATTTACTGAACAATGAACCAACCATATGTGCAGCAGACACACTGTTAAAAAAAGTTAATTTTCAAAAAATGCAAACGATTTATAGGAACAATTTTTCAATGAAAATTGACCAAATGGGTACTTGTTAATCCGTCTGTTTAAAATATATATATCATTTTATATAAATAATTTTAATGTTTAACAGTTCTTGTTATAGTAAAATTTTTAGTACCCTAAACTGAAAAAGAATATGTTTAATATTTTCTGTACTAGTAGTTTTGAGGATTCTCCCAAGATGATAACAAACACCTATGCAAGAGTATATTTATACGTCTACCTAGTCCAGCATTTTCCAAAGCCTGGTCCACAGACTGATAGCAGAGCAACATAGAACTTGAAAATGCAAATTTGAATGCCTTCTGAACCTTCTGAATCAGACACTTTGGGAGTAGGGCCCAGCAATGGCTTTTAAACAAGCCTTCCAGTGAATGTGATTCTCAACTGTGATTTGAGACCTAGTGAATAAACTCTGTGCTCCAAAAATAGATTTGTATAGTTAAATACCGGTGAATATTCATATCTTTGATATGTCCATTTCAAAAAGTGTAACCAGAATTGATAGCCAACACCAGAGTCTAATGAAACTCAGTTCTTTTTCCAAGCTACCAAGCTTTTTGCTATTTCTTTTTTTCCCAAAATATATAAAGAGACATGATTTCTTGAGATAATATAACCTTACTCCTAAGTATTAATTTCCCCCATTAGGAAGAAGTTAGATTTATACCTATTAAACTGAGTTCCAGGTTTGTCCTTGGGAAGAGAGGAAGAAATGGCTGAGAGCAGCACTGTTCAGAGCTGTATCAGTCCACTGCAGGTCAGGGAGGTGTGTTCTGGGGGGTTCCCTTAGCTGTGTGAGTAACATTTTCATCAGATCATATGCACACAGGATGTTTGGCTTCGGTTGATGGAAGTTCCTGGGTCCTCTTTTGACTCTTAACTGCACTGTCCATAGTAGACAAGACTAGAACACATTATCATTATTTTTTTCGTGGAATTTAGCTTATGAACATATGTACTGAAAAGCTATTTTCTTAAAATGTGTAAATGTTCAGATAAATCCCAAGTGTACTATGAGGATGTGTTTCTCAGGGTAATTAAAAGGATAATGTTTTTCCTTATCGTCTGTATCTTTGATGCTGATCAATAAGTATACATAGACAGTGATGTATTTGATCTCCAAAATGTCGTTGGAGTGTTATACTGAGCACGCACAATCCAGCTTAGGGCCAAATAAAAGATGCTATCTATTGTACGCTTTAGTAGAGGTTTCACTTTGCTTTAAAATAAAACTTATTTTTCCCTATGGCTGTTTCTTGTGTTAGTGAAAAGAAAGCTTTTTTTTTACGCGTGTGTGTGTGTGTGTGTGTGTGTGTGTGTGTGTGTGTGTGTGTGTGTGTGTACGCGCGCGCTTTCTCTCTACCATATATATCCCAGGGATTAAACCCAGGTCATCACACTTGGGGCAAAGTGCCATTACCCACTGAGCCATCTTGTGGCCCAAGACTGTGTGTTTCAGTGCTCGTAAGAATTGAGAAGCCCAAAATTTAAAAATTAATTGTACGGGTTTTTTTGACCACTGAAGAGTAGGGGGAAAGTAACTTCAAGTGAAAAGTGCTTTCCCGGTTCCCACTTGAAGACCTTGACCGTGGTGCCACCTTCTGTGACCTCACCTTTTCCGTCTAGAGGAGTCGGAGTCTAGAGCACCTTCCCCTGGTCACACCTGCTGTCTTGTCACTGCTGACCTAGGGAATGCTTCTTTACTGAGCTACCCTTCAATTGTATTCATGGTTCATAAAAAGTACCAGTGTTTCTCGCTGGATAAGAAAGGTAAACATGGGGCTAACAGGATGCTTTTGTGGATAAAAATGCTCATTGCCGGAATCCAATGACGTGAAACCCTGAAACCCACGTAAAGGTGGAGAGAACGAACTGGCCCCACAGACTTGTTCTCTGCCCTCTACACACGTGTCGTGCCATACTCGTGTCCAAATACACACGATGATTAAAAAAAAAATGAAGCTTTAAAATAGCAAAAAACATCGGTATCATAAAAATTAAGAAGAGGGAGCTGGAAAGGTGGATGGCTCAGCCTTTAAGAGTACTTGCTGCTTTTGCAGAAGACCTGGGCAGCTCACAGCTGTCTGTAACACCAGTTCCAAAAGATCTGAAACCCTCTTCTGGCCTGCTAGTCTCACCAGGCACCCATACATAAGATGAATAAGTCTTTTTTTTAATTAAAAATATTATCAAGCCGGGCGGTGGTGGCGCACACCTTTAATCCCAGCACTCGGGAGGCAGAGCCAGGCGGATCTCTGTGAGTTCGAGGCCAGCCTGGGCTACCAAGTGAGTTCCAGGAAAAGGCGCAAAGCTACACAGAGAAACCCTGTCTCGAAAAAAAAACCAAAAAAAAAAAATATTATCAAAAAGCTGTTTATTATTTTTATTGTATCATTTTTTATTTATGTGTGTTCCTGCTTGTCTGTGTGTACACATGCATGCAACTGCCCATGGAGGCCAAAAGGAAGCATTAGGTCCCCTGAAGCTGGATTATAAATGATTTTGAGCCACTAGATATGGGTGTCAAGGACCAAACTGGAGTCTTCTGCAAGAGCAACAGGAGCTCTTAACCACTGGGCTATCTTTCCAGCCTGTGTGTCTTCTTTCATAGTCATATGCACTAAAAAGCAGGGAACTTTCTAACATAACCGGTGGGTTTTTATGATAATTTAAGGACCTACACTGATTTTTATCCCTTACAATACTGTTGTCGTTGGAAAGATTCCCTTTGTGAGCTAACCTTGTTTCCATTTTTGCTAACAGCACCTCCCTTGGTCTGTCTTAAGGGGCTGAAAATAGCCTCAGTAAGAAACATGGAATCTGTGAATGCTAAGTGATTTCCCTGCAGCATTGTGGTGCTTGGAAAGGAGTACTCAGTGGTACATACCTGTAATCCTGGCACTTAGGGAGACAGAAGCAGGACAATCAAGAGTTGGAAACCAGCCTGGGTTACAGATTCAAAAGACAAAACAGTTAATAGCAATACCCAAAATATAAGTTTGTGACTGAAATATATCTAGACAGACTTAAAAGATTTCACAATTTCAGTTACTAGTGATAGTTTTCCCAGCCACTATTCCATAAAGGTTTAGAGGCTAAGTACTTCTGCATTATCTCTATTAAGGAAGGTATGGATGCTACGTGGTTTATGAAAATGAATAACCAGATATTTTAGCCATCTAAGCAAAAATTTGACAAGTGGACCAAGATTTCTGCTAAATTAAAATCTATCAAGTAGCTGCATAGTCCGTGAAGTGGCTGGCAACTGGCATGTTTCCTACATGCCAGTCTTGCTAATATGATTTCTGGGCTCGGAGATTTAAGAGAGCTGGTTGGGTTTCCTTTTGCAGGTTAACCATCCATCCTCTGCCTTTTTCCTATCCCAGATGTAGTCAGAGCATGCCGCTGTACCCTGCCATTCCTTTCTTTTCAGCTTTAGTCTAACAAAGGTATTCCTTCTGATGAGACAGCGTCACTCACTCCCTGCAGGTTAGCATGGCTTCTATTCTGCTTAATCTACCATGAAAATAGACTCCAACATCCTGTCAACATCACTTACCCAACAGCTGGTTCATTCCTACAGCCCTGCGCCTGCGCCATTCCCTTGAATTTCTTTTTATTTTTTTCATTCTTCCTCAGTTTTAGATCTTAATTTCCTTCCTTTGGTATAGTCTCAATATATATATGGAAATATATAGATATATGTGCCATATATACTCCATATATACATCTTGTATTAAGACTATATCTTACACACATACACACACACACACACACACACACACACACACACACACACACACACACACACGGCAGCCTAGCTGCCTGTGAGTTGCTTTGTAGCCCAAGCTGACTCAGATTCCAGCTCCTCCTTCCTGAGGCTCCCAAGAGCTGCAGTCAGGAACATTGCTACCACACCCAGTTCCCCCCAGTTATTCTCTGTGCAGCCTCAAAACCAGTTCAGAGAGCCTCTCACCTGCTGGCCAAAAAAAAAAAAAAAAATTTGGTCTGCTCAGTTTATGTTGCCCTGTGAATAGAGGTGAAGCACTTCGTCATTGCCCAACCCGTGTTAGCCCAGACAGCACAGAGCTTTTTATTCATTTTTATTCATTTATTTCTTTTTGGTGAAGACAAGAAACATAACAGTAACATTTTTCCTTCAAGCACACAGGAGAAGACAAAGGACTAAGATTCTCATTTAGTGTGATAGCAATTCTAGTCCCCACACTGGTTAAGAACATGTCAAGTATCACTACAGCAAGAAATATCAGTAAGACGAGTTACATTTTTCTTTTTGAAACCACTTGAACAAGACATAGCAACGGTTTACAAAGTCTTCAGACTTTAAAGATCACATTGTGCGGATTGTGTTTCTAAGAATACAGCTGTGTATGAACAGACACCAGAATAAGTTAATCTAGTAATGAATAGTCCCGGAGGTCTTCATACTGCAAAGGACAGAAATTCAAATGTTTGCACTTGGTCTCAGTTAGAAGCAAGAGGCAGGCTTGTAAACATCAATTCTGCCAGTCAGCTGACAGGGAAAAACAGGGTTTGCTCAAGCACAGTGGGATAAGGAGTGCACACCGTTGATCTCCCACAGACAAAGGTCACTCCTCGAATCTGAAGGAAAAACACCCAGACTTACATCTGTTTACAAAAGATCTAGTGGTGAAGTTGAGAATTAGGAAAAACTATAGGAAAATCCTCCAAGCATCCCCTTTAAATCCCAACCCACCTGATCTCCGCATTCTGCACTGGAACATGCCTCGGGGACCCCTCCCCGCAACCCGGCTCCTGCAAGACGTCAATCATCACAGCAGGCCTAGAAGAACTCGCTCTGCAACGGGCCACCCTTTCCCTTCAGTCCTCTTAAATTCCCAGCCTCCACTGACGGTATCCAGACCTCCTGAGCTCTGGAGGAGCCTTAGACAAATCCTTTTAAGTCAGAAAGGGAATAGGCGAGGGCTACCGCTGCGGGTGAGGGCTACCGCTGCAGGTTCAGCACCGCTGCCTACCCACAGGAGCATATCCGGCAAATCCAGACTCCACATCCCCCATCCCTCAGGAGATGCCTGGAGTCTCCCACAATGCACTCGACAGCCCTCTTCCTCCTTTGTTAGGATGGAGACAAGGAGAGAAATTCAAAAGCTGATGAGTAAGGGCCACGGCCGGGCAGACAACAGGGATGACGCACATTGCTGCTCTCTGGTCATTCTACAGGCCGAGGCCCGAAAATGCCCCGCTGTGTCTTTAGAAACGTGGGACCTGGGTGCCCTGTTAGTTGCATTCATTCACATCCCGCTCAGGGGCTGCAGTCTGTCCTCCGGCTGCTTCTTCCTCTTCTCCAGGCTTCTCAAACTAGAGCTTAAGAAATACACAGCCTCTGGTAGAATGGAGGAGGAGGAGGCAAGAGTGGAGGTGGTCTCCCTTGGAATTTTCAGACATTGCCAAGGGAAGGGTGATATAGTGAGGGTAGCAAGAGCTTTGGAGTCTACTTGACAGTACCTTTTCCCTGCCTGTACACAACGGGGTGGGGGTGGGGTGGGGGTGGGGTTTAAGGAAAAAAAAAAACAACCTTGCTGCCCCTTTTGTTTTTCTGTCTCTGGGCTGTAACTGCTTCAAAGAGAAAGGAACAGGGGAAGAAAAAGAGAAGAGTCCGTGGGAGAAAGACACAGCAAACCCTGTGTGCCACAAACGATTTCTAACTGCCCCAACCTAGGCAGCTTTGACTGACTTAATCAGAGTGGGTGTGGACACAGGAAGAAGGGGGTTACCTTCGGAGTCATTTGTTGGCTAGGGCTCAGAACTAACGCTAGAAGGGAGCCATTCAAGCTATCTACGCCTTGGGCACTGCCTCATGGGACTACATATCAGGCCCAATAGTGAACAGCGTCATGGGTAATGAATGGTACAGTAAAGGGGTCCTGTGGGCTGCCTAGGAGCTTAGGTCCTTAGATAGTTCCTGAGGAACAGTGTTGGCCTGGGCAAAGCTCAACCAGGAGAGAACTAGTGGGCAATTGCACAGGCCTCCATACTCACCAGTAGCTGATCACGGTGCACAGTAACCAAAGGTACAAGACCAATGTGGTAACATAAAACACTCTTCACCTGTTACTTCACTCATACCTAGTAGTCAAACCCACCAGCCGCCTGCTTGTTATACCCGTAACAAGCAGGATAAATAAATAGCAAAGACCCAGGAAGACAGCTAGGATCAGTTGGAATGTCCTGTTGGGCTGATTG